GTGCGACCGGGAGCGTCGCCGGGGAGCGCTCGCCAGATGCCAGCCCGAGCTTGTGCGCGGTGCCGGCGGCCCCGGTGTGCCAGGGCACAGGGTGCGTGCCTTGCCCAGATGTGCTCTCACCCAGATGTGCGTGCTGGTGCATCCCCGGCTGTGCTGTCACCCAGATGTGCACCCCCAGCGAGGGATGAAACCCCTGCCGTGTGCTCAGATGTGCGCACTCGTATGGCTGTGCCCTCACCCAGATGTGGTCTTCCTTCCCACGCGATGTGCCTGCTTATCCAGATGTGTGCTCACCCAGCACACTCTCAACCAAATGGGTGCCCTCACCCAGATGTGTGCCCTCGCCCAGCTGTGCTCACTCACCCGGCCTTGCACTCCCCCAGATGCGTGCCCTCCCCATCTGCACCCTCATCCAGCTGTGCGCTTGCCCAGCTGTGCCTTGCCTGCCCAGGATCCCCGGTGGGGTGCGCAGCGCCCTTCTTCCTGGGACACACCGGCCGCCACCTGCCCCAGGATCGGTGTGATCCCCCTTGGGCAGCACGATCCTCGCAGCGTTCCTCAGCCTGTTCTTAATTGGCTTCCCCTTCGTCGTGACTGAAGGAGGCAATAATTTATGCTCTTGCTCACCAGGTGCTACAGCAGCGCCCATGTCACAGGGAAGGGCCTCCCAGTGGCACGGTGCTCACCGTGGCTGGCCGTATGGATGGTGGGTCTTTCCTCCACCATGTGGGCACCTCTCTGCCCTGTTGCTTCAGTTTTCAGGCAGGAAAATGGTTCTGCTGCTTTTATTTTGCTTTTCAGATGGGCTCTGGCTGACGGGTGCCACTGCCTTGGGGCTGCCGGGGCTCTGGAGCCGGCAGTGACGGCTCTGCCTGCCCTGGGGCAGCTCTGCACGGTGCCCTGCCTGCATTGGTCCTGCTGGCCAGCACCAGCCCTGCCCAGCCTCACCCTCTTCATCCTCCTCCTCCTCTTCTTCCTCCGCAGTTTGATGCCGAATTTCGCCGCTTCGCCATGAAGCGCTCTGGTGCGGGCAGCTTCCAGGACTTCTACTGCCTGCTGCAGACGGTGCACCAGATCCCACGGGTGGACGTGCTCCTGGGTTACACGGATGTCCACGGTGACCTCCTGCCCATCAACAACGATGACAATTACCACAAAGCCGTGTCCTCCGCCAACCCCCTCCTCAGGGTCATCATCCAGAAGAAGGGTAAGTGGCATCCAGAGAAGGGCGCTGGATCTGTCCTCCCCATCAAGGGAGATGAGCCATGTCCTGCGGTACCACTGGTTCCACATTTGGGCTGTGCCCGTGGTGGTGGCAGCTGGTCACGTACCCTCCAGCCACCACAACGGTGGATGGATCTGGAGGTGGCAGTGCCAGGAGGCTCTCAGAGCTGGGGCTGTAGCACCCACGCAGGCTCTCCCTGGCAGCCCTTCCCCATGGCAAAGGCACCCACACCAGCCCAGCCCCACGTGCCCTGGCGAGCAAAGGCAAATCCTTGCGATTCACCCCTTTGAAGTTGCATTTTCCAGCAGGGCTTGTGTGGGCTCCCGGAAAACACCATGTTGCTCCCATGAGCACCATGCCGGAAGCCCCGTCAGCTCCCTTCCCCGAGGCACTAGCAGCCATTGTTTTGGCAGAGCTCTTGGGGTGCTGGGTGCCACCGAGTTTTTGGTGGTGGGAGGAGGCTTGTCTCCTTCCCGGCAGCCCAGGGCTCGCCCTGACCATAGCAGCACATTCCCAGTTTCCTCGCACAGGAGCTTGAAATTGCCGTGATAGCCGCATCCTGGCGAGGATGAAAGTCTCCTGGTGACAAACACCCGGGGTATGTCTCCTCGTCGCTGGGCAGGTGGAGATGAGCCCATCCCTTTCTGCTCAGTTTAGTAGCACCGAGGCTTTCCCTTTAGTAGTACCATCAAGCAACAGTGCCCAAAGCCAGAGCCTGATCTAAAAGCCCCAGTTTCCCCAGTATGATGCCCAGACCAACCCTGTGTTTCCAGCTCATGGTAGTGGTAGGAAGTCCCTGGGTGAGGGGTGATGCCGGTGGCCGTCCCTGGCTGCTGTGCCAGTATTGCTGGGCTCCTGCATGGGGGTGATGCGGGATGCCCCGGACATACATTTCCTGCGGGGCCATGTGGCACTGAGGCCGGCAGCGGCAATCCAAGCAGGAGGGAGCTGGAGCCTGTGGTATGCTCTGGGGCTGCCACTGTCAGCACCAAACCATCACCTATTCCCGGACCAACAGCTTGACCCAGCCTGCAGGAGCCGGTGTAGGGCTGGGTGTGCCAGGGCTGCCACAGGAGCATCGCTCCTGCTCCTGGAGCCACCTCGTCTGCTGCTGGGAAGAGCCTGAGAGGGTCTGTGGGTGACTATGCCGAGGTGACACAGTGCGGAGAGCAGGCAGCTGTGGCCCTGGAACCATGGGCAGTGCGATAAGGAGGGTGAGGAGGCAGCGCCGGCAAGCCCCGGCACCCGGCCATGCCTGCAGGAGAGGGGCCACGGGGCCGGCAGCACAATGGGAGGTGTGCGGAGAGGCCAGGAGCAAGCCCCGGGTGAGTCACAGCTGATTTAAAATGGATCCAGGTCATCCTGGGGCTGGGCTGTTGTTGAACCAGTCTGGGTCGGCAAGGAATGTGGCTGCAGAGCCTCTCTCACACGCCTGTGTACATAGGTGTGCACCCACCAGTGGGCTCCGCGGCAGCTCGTCCTGTCACAGGGAGTCAAAAAGCAAAGGCTGCAGCTGGGTTCCTCTCCCTGACGTCACCCCATCAGGTAAAGCCATCCCTGTGGGGCAGCCTGGCCAGGTATGGCGGTGCTTGGCTCACCAGAAGGGCAGGGGAAAGCCCGGCACATCCCTGGAGCTGCCAGCGGGCTTGTCCGTGGGGTGCTGGACCTGCCTGCATGCCCCTCGGAGAGGAGCTGTGCGCTGAAATAGCTGTGGGAAAGCCTCCGCCACCCTTTGCCGAGCTAAAAATATGCCAGGCTGTGTGTGCAGGGAGATATTTATAACCCAGGAGCCCTGGCAGGCTGGCTTGGCTAGGGAGGAACCCCGCGTCCCCTGGGCTTGGGGGCATCCCCAGCACCCCTGCGGCTGGAGCAGGGTGCAGGTGCTGGTGGGGGGCACCACGGGGAATGCCCCGGCAATGCAGCGTCCAGATCTGCTCTCCTGTGGAGACGTCTGGGGAGAAACCCGAGAGGGCCCAGGGGATGCTCCCCAGCACCTGGGGCATGTGGCCAAGGAGGGGACATGGTGGATCTGGGCCCCACGGAGCAGCCCCAGAGCAGGGTCAAGGAGGATGGAGTCAAACCCTGTGTGGTGGGGCCAGATGGTGCAATAAGAGACAGTGGCACAACTCACAGTTTGGGATATTCAGGGGCCCCAGGGACGCTGCAGCCCTGGGATGGGTCTCCAGGAGGTGGGCAGTCTCCGTCCTTGGGGATGGCAGGGCTCTGCAGGACACAGCTGCGGCCATGCCCACCCCGTGCCAGCAATGACCCTGCTCCAGCAGGGACAAAGGGACTCTGGCACTGTGTCATGGGGCTAGACTTGCCCTCGGGCAGCTGGCTGCCACCGCAGCACCCCCTCGTGTGTGTCTGTGGGGGATGTCCCACTCCCCAAACCCAAACTGGGGCACAGCCGTGGCTCCTGGGCCATCAGGGCTGGCAGCTCTAGTGTTAAGCTGCAGAGTTTGGCTTAAAGTGTGATTAAGGCTGAATCACTGCCTCGATCCCACTAATCCTGGCCTCGTGTACGCTGGGTAATCCCAGGAGATGGGCCCGGCGGAGACAGGCTGCAGGAAAAGCCAGGGTGATACTCCGGGGAGGAAAAGCCGGCGGGACTTGTGAGCAGGGCACTTCTCTTGCCAGCTCCCCTAACACCTGGAGCCAAGGGCACGCGGTTGCATCCCTGGGCGGCTGCGGTGCCTGACCTGTGTCCTCCCTTGCTCCCTACAGCAGAGTCCGATGCCGGTGTCTTTGCCTCGAACTCCTTGCAGCGGAAGAAGAAGGGGCTGCTGCGCCCCGCGCACTACCGGGCCAAGCCTCACCTCCTCATCGGCATGCCCCAGGACTTCCGCCAGATTTCCTCCATCATCGACGTGGACATCCTGCCTGAGACCCACCGCCGCGTGCGGCTCCACAAGCACGGCTCTGACAAGCCGCTGGGTTTCTACCTCCGT